TTGATGCGTGAAATCGGCAAGTGCACCGATCGTACCAAGTAATAAAGAGTGAGTAGAGTATCGTCTCCACGAGGATTGAGGCACCTAAGTTGTTATAACTATTCCTCTCTTGTTGGATTAATCAAAATAGGTTGAGAATGATTGTAGTTCATGAAACAAACTAAAATAATTAAAGTAAAAATGTAAATGATTCCAAAAGTGTTTTCAGAATGCAAGAACAAAAGATTAAGGATTGGGAAAATATTTGAGAAAATATTGCGGTAAAGAGAAACAAACACCTTTCTGATTCCCACCTTGCAACTTGGATTACGTTTATATTTACCTATTCAATTGATCGAATAATTCATCATCTTTTATATGAGTAGTTAAGCCCTAATCCCTTAGTGACTGTAACCTTGTTAACTCTATTAGAATCCTAATCCCTTAGAAATTCCTTTTCGAGTTAACCCTTAGAATCAATGAACCTTTAACGTTCACTATTCATATAGCCTATCCCTAGTGCGTACATGAACAATTATCTTATTCTTTGTCAGGAATTAGAATTCCAACATCCCTATTGTAAACCCTAACCCTCGCAACCCTACTAGATTGATCAGTTCCAATAGAATTATAGAATGAAGAACAAGAAAAGATAAATGCAATTAAAATGGATAAACATAAATTTCAACCAAGGTACAAGGGGTTCACATCAAGGGTTGTGACCCTTACCACAATGATAAAACTAGCCAGACATGTTCATGTCTGACAAAATAACAATAAAAGAAAGTAGCATTTAAAACCTAGAAGAGAAAGGGAAGATGAAGATCTTCCGTCTTGATCGATCGAACCCTTGAATTTCCGAGAAGCTCCAAGGAATCTCTGCTCTATTTGTTGTTTTTCTCTCCTTGATTCTCCAAAAGTCCCTTTCCCTTATGTTTCTGATCCTTTTATTAGGTTTTGGGAAAACCTATTTCACTTTGCACTCTAATTGGGCCTTATTTTAGCTGATTCGCACTTAAAAATATATCGCCTGCGCACGGGGCGCCAAGCCTGGCGCCCCAAACTTGGGCGAAACAGAAGCTGAATCTGTAAACGGCGCCCCGGGCGCCAACTCTGGAGTGCCGCGCGCCAGTACCGCGCTCCGTGCGCGACCCAAACAGAAGCAAATCGTCGATAAAGCGCCCGGTGCGCCAGGTACCGAGCCCCGTGCGCCAGTTTGGCGCGTCGTGCGCCAACCTCTGCGCATCGTGCGCCAGATGGAAATTTGGTTTCTCCGTTTTTGCTCCTTTGTGCGGCGTTTCATGCTATTTAACATATAACTTGAGTGAGAGCATGATTGAGAAGGAATAATCAATATTTCTTGCATTTAATGACTATTTTCATACATTTATGATTAATTCCTTGCTTCTTTTAAGTTAGAAAACATCATCTGCTAGACTCACATCAGTCACCCATCCCAGAATTGCTCCAAATTAAATACGCTTAACTATGGAGTTCTTCCGTTACGGGCTACTAGATGCATCTTATCAATATAGGTAGTACCAATTAATTCTTATAAGCTATTCCAAACTATGTTGTCCCATACCAGCACAGTCTCTGGAATCCCTCTCTTTCGAATGTTGATTCGATTCATTCATGTACTCTAGCTGCAAGCACTTTGGACGTTACACTTTATTTATTAAAAAAAAAAAACCTTACCACTGTTTCAATATATATATTTTATATAGAGTTATATTTATCTCATTTTACCTGAGATAAACAACTTTCCTACACACAAAAAAAGGTTGGGTTCGATCCCATCATTCTTTTTTCTCTCTTCTCTTACCTGTGGGTCCCTCTTATAATTTTATTTCTACAATATGAGGTAACTATTTTTCTACAACATAAGAAAAGTATTTCCGTTTTTAATTATATATGTATATGAGAGCTAAAATTGTTTATTGATGTGTTTTTCATGCAAAAGGGTAACTTAGGAGAGCAAGAAGAAATTATCATCCGAAAATATTTGTTCGGGCACATGAATTTATAGGAATTTTCGCACAAATAAATACATAATGGTGGGATCCATGTGACTGCTCCAACAAATATTTGTTCGGACATCTTATGGAAATATGTTATATTTTAATTAATTTTTAAGGTTGTTCAACAACTTGTAGATGTTTTAGACTTGGATATGGATGGATTTTTCGCATTATCCCATAATCCTCAATGAAAATTTGAACCAATCTTAGAAGAATTAAAATTAAAAACCACATTTACCTTTATAAGTATTTTAAATATTTATATAATAATTAATCATAATTTTAAAATTAATCCACCATCTTGTTTAAATATAAATTAGAAAACATATTGATGATAAACATTAAATTAATATTTTCATGTTAAGTTAGAAATGATGTTTATAATTAGGCGAAGGAAACAATCGGAAAGGAATGGATAAAGTGAGCCTAAATTGGGAACAGTAACTATTTTTTCACATTTTTATAAAAATTATTGTGATATATAAAATCATTAAGCTTTTGGGTGAGGCTACATTAATAATTTTGTATATCTCACTACAAGAAAAACGATAGATAATGGCTGTGTCTTCACGTCGTTTGGAAAAACCGCCCTTAACTCAATCAAATAGTTAATGAACGCTTAAGTAACTCATATCACACACTATTCAGCCTTTATGCTTTTCTCTCATCTCTCTCTCTTTCTCTCTCTCTTCTCACCGAGCTGTTCATTTCACGTGCTCATCAAACAATCCAACATTCATTGAGGACTTAATGCTGCGAGTAGCCTTTATGCATTTTTTGTTGAAGACTTCACAATGTACAGTGCGAGTAGCTCAACGATGATGGCTTGTGATGGAAGCATTTGAAGAAGAATGTATAGCAACTTCAATAGGGGAGAAAAGGGGGTTTAGGGTTTGGAGATAGTTATGGACATGTTTTACTGCGTATTCCCTATTCCATTACATTTCATTCACTGTTTCTTCTTTCTTAGGGTTCATTTATTTCAATTCCATTCATTCCTCTATCTAATTGTGAATAATTCGATTTTCTTCCAGGAACTGCACCCGCATTGAGATTCAGTTGCTTTCTCCTCAAAGCTTGCAAGTATTGTCTTCTCTTCTCTTTTGAGTGCACTTTTTACTCACGGGATGATGCTACACTAGTTGTTTTAGAGCTGAATCCTTTTAATGGATTTTTTTTATTATTCCCTGCTCTCTTTTAACTTTGTTATGTTCCTTTTTGAATGAATATTAAATAAAATTGGATTGTTAATATAGAATTTCTCTTAGCAGCCTGCGTTGGACGTGCCAATATATGGAAGGATTGCCATTTAATGTATTATTTATATTCTTGTATTAAAATCATTCTTTTTTTTTTACTTTTTTTTTCTTGTTTTGGTCTCAAACAGGGTGAAGCACAGGATTATTTTTTTATTGCAACTGAAACATACAAATTCATTTTGGATTGTATGCCTAATTTTTTGTTCTGTCCCTTCTTGTGTGACCATTGTCTACTTAAGTTCATTGTATGCCTAATTTTTTGGATTTTAAACGCCTGATACAATGTTTTTTCCTTATCTTTCATTATCATGGGAATTAATGCTCCAACTTCTCAGTCGTTTCTAAACTATGTCCTCTTGGTGATTGTCTATGGAAGCATTTTAATATCCTGAAGGAAAGCACTCAAGGTTATAATACATTCTTCACAAATTTGTGCCAGCTCTTGATATATATTGTCAATAAATTTGATTATTTGCAAAATATGATACAATGCCTTAATTATGATTAAAGTTTAAATTTTTTGAAGTCATTCCATTATTGGATTGAGAGATTAGTCTACAGGGTAACTATAAAAAAAAATAGAGAATTAGTCTACAGGGTAATTATTTTGTGCCACTTTTATTACTTGTAGGACTTGATAACATCTTTAGGCTTCAATCTTTTACATTGGTAAATCTGGATCTGATTTTTTTTAGTTGAAGCATAAAAGGTTATTATGGATGGGAGGATCATAGAAACCCCAGATCTGGTTACAAAGGCACGGGAGGAGGATTAGCAGTTTGTATTTCAGCTTGCGATGATGGAAATGCAGCAGACACATCGGTTAGTAATGGATCCTTTTTTTTCCTTTACAATGGTTGATGTGAATTAGAATTGAAATGTTTCTGAGAACCAAGACTTTGATTTGTTGATTAGGCCTTTAGTGGCATGGAAAGTGCTGGCGCCTTGACTTACAGTTTCATCCAAGCCATGCAAGATGAACCTAAATTGATCACTTATTGCCGCTTGTTAAATGCTATGTGCTCTACAATACGTGGGGCTAAAGAAGGAACTTTTGGCCTAAACAATCAAGACCATGCCATGGACACTAGGCAGCATTATGCTCATGTATTACATTATATACTCTACACCTTTCTTTTACAAATATATTGATAACATACCATAGCTTATATGAAGTTGATTCTAAATGGTTTATTTTTGCAGGAGCCACAACTATCTTCTTCTGAGAAGGTTGATATTTATTCAAAATCGATTGTTATGTGACACGTAACTGGAAGTAGCACTGGAAACGAGAAACAGGTAAGGTTAGTCTTGCTGGCAGGAGAAAAATAATTATGTCAAGTTGGTAAGAGATAAATATAGTGATATTGGGGAGGGCTTGGCTTCTAACAGGTGAAGTACTGTACTACTACTGCTTCAATGTGCTAACCAACCACTAGTTGTTCCTCAATATAACAATAAACTCTCATGCAGGTGCTTATCCCTATGGAGACTTTGGCAAGCGTATCAAGTCTTACAAGTAATAAAAGTGGCACAAAATAATTACCCTGTAGACTAATTCTCTATTTTTTTATAGTTACCCTGTAGACTAATTCTCTACTTCATCATATATGTTGAATTTTTTTTAACCTGCTAACCATTTACCTTGATGTAGCAGTGCTGTCTGGGGACTTTCTTATGCAAGGCTATTTCAGTTTCATTGGCATTTAGTTTCTAAGAACTGTTGAAGTTCAATAGGGTCATAATACACACACAAACTGAAATTGATTTTTAAAATCAAAAGTTCTGGTTTTCATCAGGGAGTGATGATCAATTTGGCTAATATTCTGAGTAGAAAGCTCATAATTGTAGGTACTTACTCTTCTATATACTTAGATTTCTTTTTTTTCCTTTCAAGTTATACGCTTGATGTAATTTGTCTTATATGCTTATTCCTTTTGCTAGAGTGCATTTTCTTCTACACCTGTGTTACGAAATTGTCTGAGTGCTTCCAAGTCAGGAACTGAGTCTTACAGAATCAATAGTCAGAAGACTCGGAACAAGAAATCTTTTATATGGCAGGTGTAGAGGAGTTCAGCCATAGTGGATGCCCTTTTCACCACTTCGACATACAAGGTGTATGATACTTTCTTGGAATATTATTAATATATTAATATCAACACATGTAACCATAGTAGTGATCTCAAGTTGTTGCATTAGATGTAGGCCCTGTTGGAGAAGTATCACTTTTGAGCTTATTTCTGTGAATTTCACAATGTAAGCATTTATGATTTTGATAATAGGAGGCTGTATCGAAGGGAAGAAGGTCATCATAGGGAAATAATCAAAGCGCTCTCTCTTGGGATTTATACACTTAAGAGGTAATTTTACGTGTTTTATATTCTTTATTTTTTGTTGGTTGCTGATATGCTATTGGCTTTGTAATAATGATTGAAAGTTAATTTTGGTTGCTAGATAGAAATCCCTGCCATAAACCCAATACGTGCTATTTCCTTGCCTTGTGTGGGTTGAGGGGTTATGAGTTCCCACTGTTAATCTAACATTTTTAGGTGGAATATTGAGATGGAAAATTCGTTCATTGCATGATATTAAGTGTACGGTGGTGCTTTCAAATTGCTGAGATATAATTATTTGAAGTTTGCTATGATGTGGAGATAGTACCCATGAGAATCACTATGTCAAGGGACTATTTTAATCTTTCTTAGTTTATAAATTTTGTCGTTGTTTGGGAATTTGATGAAGTGGAGATATTATAGATTTACAGTTGGAGGCCTTTTTAAAAAATTAAATTTAATGTTGTTGTTGTAGTTTAAGAGACACCACCTCCTAATAACTAATTTACATAATTAATTAAAGAATTTGAGACTGCAATTAAGATCAAGTATAAGTATTTAAATAGTTAGTAATTAATAAATTAATAGTTGAATAAGCTTGATAACCCTTGCTAATAACAGTGATATGTGCAGAATTTTTTAGAGTCAAAAGAGACGTTTGATTTTAATTCTCTTCTTATCTTTATGAAATATATTTCTTATTAATAATTAAAAAATTAAAAAAATATCAAATTATTTTTATTATCTTTTTATATTTCTAATTTTTTTGGAAGGAAAAAGTCAATTGACTTGCATAGTTGCATTACCAGGTGGAGAAACCGTATTTACATGGAAGAATCTACATGATTTTGGGGTGGTACAAGGAAAAATCAATATTACACTTGTAATTAGTTCACTTTTATTTAAAAGAAAAGAAAATTACAATTAAAACAAGAGATCCAAAAAAGAAAATCAATTGAAGCCATGATTGCTAAACTATATCAAAATATGTCTATACCTCTCTATCTACTAAACTAACTACTGTTATTAATAATCAAGTAAGTTATTATTTTTCTTAATAAACATTATATAATTTTTTAATGCATTTACTAAAAATGTTATTCATTTGTTTTTAATGCAGGCAGCAAAGTTCAATCCTCGTGATCAACCTTCTTCACATTTTGCAACTAATCACTGCTAATAGATTACTTAGGTTTAAACTTTTGTAGTTTTATTGGCACGTTAATTCCATTTAGGTTTGATTTGCAAGATTACTCAGTTTAAACATTTGTAGTATTATAGATACTTTGATTCCATTTATGTTAAATTTGCAAAGCACATTTACTTTGTTTTATCATGTATTTGAATATATTAATTTTTAATGGTGAGACATTTTGCATTTGTTACACTATTTGTATTATCTTGAATTACATTTAATTATGTATAAATTTAATGATAATAGATTCAGAAATTTAAATGTTTGATCAATCAATAATATGTCTTTTGTAATGATATAAATAATTATAAGATAAAACAGTAGCAAATAATTATTAAAAAAAAAAGCAACAATAGCAAACACAATAAAAGCAGCAAATATCTGCATAAAAAAAACAGTATTGCAGATTTGCGGCGGTTCAAAACCGCCGCTAAAAATATTAAATTTTATTAAAATATTTTATTTTAACGTCGGTTAAGAACATATAACGTCGGTTTTGTTTTTAACGTCGGTTGTGTAAAACCGACGTTGAAATATTTACTGCGCCAATTTCTATGTCAGTTTTAAAAAGGCCACCAAAAATTTTGCGGCGGTTTGAACCGCCGCTAAAATTGAAAAAAACCGCCGCTAAAATACGATTTTGCTGTAGTGTCTCAACACGTCCCCTCACCAGAGAGCTCACTAGGCTTGAAGGGTGGACAATGCATATATAGGCCCACCTACCTGTGTGAAGAAAGAAATTTTACTAGAAAGAAAGTAGGGGACGGTGAGGATCGAATCCGATACACCGAGACTGTGATACATGTAAAGAACCAATTCAATCCAAAAACTTAAAATTTATTCAATAGTCACGCGAATAGTGAATTTTTTTAAAATGCCATGCGTATAAGCTCGCTAGCGAACTTCGTTTGTTGACATGGCAACCTAGTTTGCTACTGGTACTAGCGAACTAGGACAAAAGTAGGATACATGTCGATCTCTTCCAAATTTGTTATACCTTCTAGCGAACTATAAGAGATAATGACAAACACAGTGCCAAATGCATTTGATATTTAATGTGAAATAAAAGTATAATATAAATATGAAAGTAACAAAAATGTTTGCTATAAAGTAATTGAAGATGAAGTTAAATAGCAAAAGCAATTTAATGATCAAAAGTAAAAACAAATTTGGAAGAGGTTGACACGTGTTATACTTTTGTTCAAATTATCTAATTCGCTAGTACCAGTATCGAACTAGGTTGTCATGTCAGCAAACGAAGTTCGCTACCTATAACTTGTATTTCTGGCATTTTTTAAAATTTTACTGTTTGTGTACGTAGCAGTTGGATAAATTTTATGTAAAATGTGACAAATGGGTCCTGATCCCTAAACTTGCATCTTGTTCGACCCGTGTTGCTTAAGCACCCTGCCATGGAGTTTTATACGTAGGAATCGCAGAAAGCATAAGTGAACGATTGGTGTAGTGAAGTTTAGGTATGTATAACTTATGTATATTGTTATGGAGATTTTTTTTTTTTTTTTTGAGGTATTGGTATGGGCCAAAGTTTCCAATGGAATCACGTAACTCTGTAAATATTTTAAAGATGGCTTGGGGGATGTGTATTAGACACGGTGACTCTATATATATTTTGATAGAATAATAACTTGTAAATGTAATAGATAAAAGATTATATATAAGTGAAAAAATATTCCCTAATAAAGAGAAAGAGCCATAATCATTTTTGCTCAATATTTTACCGCTGTGCATGAGGTAACACACATAACCCATGTACACGATAGTGAATTGTAGAGGGGTGAAGATCCTCTACTATAAAGACATGAAAATCTCTATTTGTAGAAAAATAAACCATGAATATCTAATTTTTTCTAGCACAACCACTGGTTTGACCGGTGTTGTTGCATGTGTCTGCACACGAAGACACAAAAAATTGAGAATTTCTTTTAAAGGGGTGGGTGTGGGTGATTTAGGTCAAGTAAAAAAATATATTAAAAAGATTGAAAAGAAAAAAAAGGTAAAAATAAGTCCAAGCCCCACCCAAGCAACCCATATAATTAAAAGCTTAAAGCTTAAACCTTATCTCATTGTTTTGTCTTTTTTTTTTTTTTTTTTTAAACATAAACTTTATTAGCTCCAAACCTTAATGGACATCAATGATTCTTGAAATTCAATCTTCATCAAGTGGAGGAAAATCGCATGAGATTTTTCACATTTTTTTGCGAAGCAAAAGTGGTCAACTTTAGATCAAATAGACATCGATAGAGGTTGGTTTTTGATCAATTAACCCTTATAATTAATACATTTAAAAAATAATCTTCGGGGGCGCTGCCCCTGAACCCCGACCTTAAGTGTGCACACATAATTTTTTTTTCTAGGTCCGTCACTGAGCACAACTAAGTGTATGTTTAAGAGGACTTTTTCTTAGCTTCTGTTCTCTTTGCAAGCAGAAGTTAGGTCAAATAAATTTTTACAAAATTTTTATTATAATAAAATACTTTTTTTATAATAAAGAAAAATGTCAAAAGCCAAAAATTTCTAGAAGAATTTTTTTAAGTTATATCAATTTATTTTTAATTTGAGTACTAAAAATTTATTCGGGTCCCACATATTTCATCTCTTTTTTCTACCTAATAGAATTCACTCACTTTTATAATATTACTTCTACACAATAGCAAAAGTATTTTTTTTTTTTTTTATAACATAAAGTATTTTTTCCTTATTATATTTTCTGACAACTTTCATGCACACGCATCATTAAATAGATTAAGTCAAAGAAAAAAGGTAATCATGGAGGACTTATTATATTTTCTAACAACTGCGAAGGGGCGTAAGTACTATGATTTTTGGACTCGCACCTGAATTTTTGATTAGTCCCGTATATAGGCGGCTCAAAAAGTCGAACCCATGGAGATACCGAAAGATTCTGATTCGCCTCAAAGAGGTAATTAAGTTTAAAAAAGAAGAAGGTAATCATGGATTAACTACTACATGCCTGAACTAATCCGTGAGTTGTCGCCTCGAATCAAGATGGCTAAAGATTCCAAAGTTTTTAAAATGTTGTCCCGAGTGCAGAGAACTGCAATTTGCAAATAAGAACGAGTAAATTTGTATTAAAAAAATATAATTTTGTATCACCTGTCAAAGCATCGGACCTTGTAACACTAATTGAATTTCGTAACCTTGCTTAATATATATATATATATGGGGCAGGATATTCTTACACTGGTGTAAGAGTTAGAAGTCTTACACTCAATCTTGACTATTGATCCACTTGTATCCAATGGCTCACATTACTAAAAAATTTGAGCCCTTAGATATAAATGGGATCAGTGGATAAGATTAAGAGTGTAACTTACAGTGGTGTAAAATGATTCTAACCCTATATATATATATGAGGTAGGATCCTTTGACACCAGTGTCAAAATTTAAATTTGACACCTCATCTGAGAGCCGTTAGATCAAAAAAGATCAACGACTCTGATTTGCAAGCATGTGACACCATTGATATTTTTTGATCTAACGACTCTCAGATGAGGTGTCAAATTTAAATTTTGACACTGGTGTCAAAAGATCCTACCTCTCTATATATATATATATATCAATTCAATTTTTCTGCGATGAATGTAAATAAGTTATCTGTATTGAACTTAAAACGACATGATTTTTAGAGAGAAATCAAGTTATTTTTGTAATTATAATTTATTCCAAAGTTATAATAGTCTTTATTATTATAATTTTTTATTCTTTCAATTCAAAACGACATCATTTTAGAGTGAAGTAGATAAATTATTTTTATTCACCGTAAAAACACTAAAACCTATATATATATATATATATGTGTGTGTGTGTGTGTGTGTGTGTATATATATATGTATGTGTGTCTTTCCTATTACATGAGATAATTTTATTTTCTGCAACCCCAAAACGTCGTTTTGGGATTTAGGATTAAAATAAAGGGTATTTTGAAAATTTTATTTTTCTCCTGCATCATGAATTTTACTAAAATACCTTTTATTTTTAATTGTAAATTCCCAAACCCTCTTTTTAATCCTAAATTCAAAATGATGTTATTTTAATATTGCGGAAGATAAAGTTATCTCCCATAAAATAAGAAACGTTACTACCATATAAATGAAATTTTTGTTTTAGACGAATTAATTGTTTTCAGTTTTCACTATAAATCATGAGTTATCTTTAGATAAAAATATATCTATTTTTTCTCCTTAATAAATTTATTAGGAGATAAATTTATTTTCTACACACATATAAAAATATATGGAGCCCATATTTCTCTCTCTCTTCTCCTCACTTGGGCCCAACATATTTTTATATGTGTAGGATATAAATTTTTTCCTACAACTTGAAAAACATTAAACCCATTGAAAATTTATGTGTTGTTAAACTTTTATTCAAAAGATTTTTAATTTGTGAACCCCTCAAAGAAAAAAAAAAAACCGTCGGGCTACAATTCCAAAGTTCTTCTATGTTAAGAGATAATTAAAATCATCATTCCAGAAATTAAAGTATTTACAAGCTAGATCATTTTGTTATTTGACATAAAAGAAATAAAACAATATACCAAAAATCAAAAAGAAAAGAAATAAAACAGGAAAACGCTATTCCACTTAAATAACCTGGCTTTAATACTCATAACTTCCAATCTATTAGCATTATGTCTTCCAAATTAAAGAACTTTTCTCTTATTTTTTTTAAAAAGAAAATGCAAATTTATTTGAATGAAGACACATTATTTTTTTTCTTTATTGTATACTCGATCATGCCCTTTAAATGTAGGTTTATTTTTCTATTTATTTTTATATTATTTATCTGTTTATCGATTTGGACTAGTTTAGTTCAAATTATGTAGGATCACATGGGTGACAAAACTCTCTTTATTAGTTTTTTAACACAACTATTTCTTAGAGACTCGAACTCAAAATTATTGGCTAAACTCGAACAAACCCTTATCACTGGTCTAATTTTTTCTTATACAAAACATTTAGCTTGGACTTGAACTTCAATTCTTTCTTAAAAATTACAATTCGCTTACGATCATGGCCAACTCTGTAGACAATCTTAAAAAATTGAGGCGGAATCACGAGCTAAATTAAGAAGTCATTCTAGTTGATTGTATTATATTATCATTATTCTTAACCCGTATACATTAATTTATGTCATAATATGTATATATAGATGAGTGCAAAACTGCATAGGATGTATATTACATACATAAAGTATCTGCATCATATATATCTGCTGATATGGAGATAGAGAAGAACATGGGCAGTGGCGAGGTGGAGGTGAAAGAAGAGCTACAAAGTAAGAAGATGAAGCGACGAGGAGGCATCAGAACATTGCCTTTCATCCTTGGTGAGCGCTTTTGTGTGGATTTATTTCATCCTGAATCTTCTCCTTAATACCCTTCCCCTTCTCATTATCAATTTGTTCGTCGATTAGAGAGAGAGAGAGAGAGGTGTTTCGTGGCCTTTCATAGTTTTGTTTTTTGTTTTTTTTTGGGTAATAATGGCCTTTCATAGTTAACTTATTTAGTTTACGGGGATGATTATATTTACAAATTTTTTTGTTTACAAACTATACTATGTTCTCTTAAACTATATTAAGTTACATTATGTACTTTCAGGAGTATATAGTGTAATTTACAAAAATTTGTAAAAGAAATTTGTAAATAAATTTTTTCTCTTAATTTATAGCTTTACAAAAGTAAGTTTATAACGAAGGGATTTTGATTCTGAGACATAATATATGAAAAAATTAACAGAGAGTAGTACAACTTAAACCTTCGAAGTGATGCATCTGTCTTCAGGAAATTACAAAATTAATTTCTTATTTTTTTTAAAAAAATTATAGAGTCTTACTCTTATTGTGTTGATTGATTATGTACTAATAGATAGTTTTTATCTAATAGATGCTAGCTCCTTTTATTAATTAAATACGTCCGAGATTCTATTTACTCTTGAGTCTAAATTTCTTTTGAGTAAATTCAAATCTTTCAAATAATAATGTGTCATTGTATTTTTTTTTGGGGGAGGTTATACTCACACTATTTCAAACTTATCACTTTTTTTATTTATTTGATTATTATTAGATTAATTTGAAATCAATGATTAAAAAAAAGAAAAAATTAACTAATGTTAATTTCAAATTAATCTAATGATAACCAAATAAATAATAAGAGTGGTGAAATTTAAAAGACTAATTCAATAGTAAATTAAAAAATTAAAGTGGTGAAATTTTAACCTATAAATAACTTATTTAGAAATTCGCTTGTTTTTTAGTCAACTTGAGATCTGTGTAATTGTATTGATTATGAAGTTGATTGGAGTCTACACTAATAGATATTAGCTCCCTTTATTAATTATTAATATAGAAGACTAGGAGTAGTACGAGGTCAATGTGTGCCAGTAATTTAGGCATTTCTTAATAAGCCAAGTTGTCACTTAACAATGTATGCCAGTAATTTAGACATTTCTTAATAAGCCAAGTTGTGAATAAATCTTATGGGTAAATTACCTTTTTCTTGTACCGAAAATTTTAATATACTATCCTAGTATCTATATATCTGCCTAGTAAAAATACAATACCCATACTGACATATTTCTCGAGGAGGGAAAGAGAAACAAAACTAGACCTATATATTTCCAAGAATATATTATCTATAATTTTATTTTGAAAGAGAGTTATACACAGTACTCAATACGACGATAATACAAAAGATATTCACGGTCCATTTTATGTTTATTATTTTATTGAAATATGCATGATCATTTGCTTTTAAAAGAAACTTTATTCCCTCCAAAAAAAGGAACTAATTTATTATCTATTGTCATCCTTACTCTGTTTATAATCACTTTCTTTCGAATATTACTTCTTAACATTGTACTCTTTTTTCGTGGTGTTTCATTTTTATTTTAAAATATATACATAATATTATTTAATATTTAATATTTAATATTTAATATTTATAATTTTTTTTTCTGAAATACGTCTTTATTTCTCAATTGAACTTTACTGTTTACTATTTACTATTTACTATTACTATCGCTTGATTAATATTTCTCTATTAAAATTTTCATTTTCCATTTAATATAGTAATTTTATTAAAAATAAATTTCAGTTGTCAAAGTAATTTTATTATATACTATCACTATTACATAATTAATTTTTTTTACCAGCATTAATTAACATTTTTGTCTTTTTTGTACTATTATTCTTTTGAAGCTAATGCCTTTAAAAATATTATTAAATGTTTCTCAGACAATTTTATTATGTAACATTAAATTATTATTTTTTCAACATAATTGCGGTTGATGGCAACAGAAGTGGATGTTGACCTAGGTGAACCTTGCGTGTAATATTTACTTTTATTAAAACTTTTTTTTTTTTTTTTGGGTAAGACTTTTATCAAAACTTTACCTAACCACCATCCTAATTTGGAATTATGTGAGAAATTGCTTACACTTAAAAATTGTTGTTTCTCAATTAATTACTCGCCAAGCCACAAGGCAATTTTTTATTTGGAAAATTGACAGATTGAAAATAAAATAAAATAAAATAAAATAAAATAAAATTGTTTATAAACGAGTAATTAACTAAGAGTACATCTATCTTTAAATATTAGTATATTACAATTATGATTCCAGTTTCATTTTCTGTATGAACGAGATTAATTTGGACTGGTAATTGGGTGTTGAACATATACATGCAGCAAATGAAGTATGTGATAGATTTGCGGTGGCTGGTTTTCATGGTAACTTGATAAGTTACCTGACTCAAGAGCTGAACTTGCCATTGGTATTGGCCTCAAACACTCTCACAATCTTTGGTGGAACTGCTAGCTTCACTCCTCTCCTTGGTGCTCTCTTTGCTGAGTCCTTTGCTGGCCGATTTTGGACCATTACTGTTGCTTCTCTCATTTATGAACTGGTTCCTCTTCTCCACACAATCTCATCATGAAACTTCTTATACTAGCTAGTATTTCTCAAGTACTTTCAATGTTTAAATATAAAATATTTCAATTACATAACTACTTAAAAACAGTTAGGATTCACATTTAATTTAGTAATTGGTTTTTATTATTTCTGGTGCAGAAATATTTTTCCTGTCATACTCACATAAAAGTGAATGAGTTTCATTACAAAGAGAAGGAAAAAAAATATTAACTGGATCCACTAATTTTTATGTAAGTGTGATGGAAAAATTATTTTGCCATAAAAACAGAAATATTTTTTCCTATTTACAAAATATTGTCTATTAAGTTTAATTTTGATCCAAAATACTATTATATTATCTAAATATGTGTTGCATATCGTGCTAATTATCGTCATACACTTGCTTGACACAGGGGTTGGTTGTTATGACTGTATCAGCTATATTGCCACATATGCGCCCTCCACCATGCCCAACACAAGTGAATTGCCAAGAAGCCACATCCTCAAACCTGTGGATACTATACCTCTCTCTGCTCCTCACATCTCTTGGATCAGGTGGCATTAGACCTTGTGTTGTGCCCTTCTTAGGAGACCAATTTGATATGACCAAAAATGGTGTGGCATCTAGGAAGTGGAACATCTTCAATTGGTACTTTTTCTGCATGGGATTCGCTTCTCTAAGTGCTTTGACCATTGTGGTTTATATTCAAGACAATACGGGCTGGGGCTGGGGCCTTGCAATACCAACCATTGTCATGTTCATATCCATCATTGCCTTTGTCTTGGGCTCACCACTCTATAAGAATGTAAAACCAAAGGGGAGTCCTTTGGTTCGTTTGGCCCAAGTGATTGTGGCTGCATTAAAGAAAAGGAAGGAGGCTTTACCAGACGATCCCAAGCTGTTGTACCAAAATAAAGAACTTGACGATGCTATTTCTTTGGAAGGAAAGCTTTTACACACAGACCAATACAAGTAAGTCAAATATTTAGTTATTTTGGTTCAACCCAAAAACTTGGACTATGAACAAATGGGTTGGGCTTGGTTATTATCAACATATATTGCCCTTTATGAATGTTAGAGAAATATATAAATTATGGATGAACCTTCATATAACAGCGTAAACTTTTGGGTTAAATTAATTTTTTATATGGTATTAAGTGGACTTGTGTATTATCCACCCTCCATGTCTAGTGGATTCTCGTGTGAGCAGACATTTTAAAAAAGTATCAATTGAATCAAATTTAGCTAAATCTCTATTTTGAGCCATATGACTTTCATTGATTTTACCCCTTTATTTTTGTGTTACTAATCTAGATCACCTGCTATGAGATAAATCATATTGATAATTACCCATTAATCAATTTGCCCATTGATTCATTACAGAATCGGGAGGGGTTGAATTTGTTATTTACAACAGAATTTGTAAAGACTAGTTTTAAAGTTCAAATATAAGAGATAAAAATTGAAAATAGGACATAATTTTTTTTTTGAAAACGTTATCATGTACATCCTAAAAGTTCATTTTCCCCACTTGATTTCTTACTACAGATGGTTGGACAAGGCTGCAATTGTGACAGGGGAGGAGGGCAGAGATCCAAATGCAACACCAAACTTATGGAAAGTGGCCACTGTTCATAGAGTTGAGGAGCTAAAATCTATCATTAGAATCCTTCCAATTTGTTCATCAGGAATTTTGCTCATAACTGCTACATCACATCTTCCAAGCTTTGTCATTCAACAAGCACGCACAATGGATCGTCACCTTTCTCATTCATTCCAAATTTCTCCAGCTAGTATGTCTATATTCAGTGTGCTAACCATGATGACAGGAGTTATTCTCTACGAACGCCTTTTTGTTCCCTTTGCTCGTAGGTTCACTAGGAACCCTTCTGGAATCACATGCCTACAAAGAATGGGAGTAGGCTTTATAGTTAACATTATAGCCACAGTAATTTCAGCACCTGTGGAAATAAAAAGGAAAGAAGTTGCTGCAAAGTACCACTTATTGGATGATCCAAAAGCCACTATTCCTATTAGTGTGTTTTGGTTGGTACCTCAGTATTGTTTGCATGGAATGGCTGATGTTTTCATGAGTGTTGGACTTTTTGAATTTCTCTTTGATCAGTCACCTGAAAGCATGAGAAGCAGTGCTACAGCTCTCTATTGCATAACTATAGCCATTGGGAATTATGTTGGTACATTTATAGTATCAATTGTCCATAAATATAGTGGCAAAGAGAACAATTGGTTGCCTGATAGGAACCTTAATAGGGGTAGATTGGAGTACTATTATTTTCTTGTTAGTGGGATTCAGGTTTTAAATCTCATTTATTTTGGAATGTGTGTTTGGTTTTACAGTTACAAGCCCTTGGAAGAAACTACTGAAATGAAAAAGGAAGAAGATTTGGAACAGCCCAATAGGAAAATCTCATCTGTCAATTCAAAAGATGGCAGAGATGATGAGTAGAGAAAGTTTAGAAAAAAAATTAATGTACTTACGATCATATTCGTTATGTCTAATTTGTATTATGGGAGTCATTGATTTTTTTTTTTTTTTTGGGTACATGAGTCATTGAATTTTCAATCCCTCAACAAGTGCCACATGTAAGCACAGGCCAGAGTATTTCTTTTTGTTTAATTTTCGAATGTGCTTTACTCATTTGACATTATTGACAGTGATTTCATTTTCTTGAATAATATAATTGTCTTAAAATAGTAGTATCTATCTAAATATCGACGTTATCGCAACTCAAATATTCTGCATGCAGGATTCATAAGTGATGTGTGAAGTGACTCGGTTTAGTCTAGTGGTGAAGGATTTGAGTAAGTTGTATTAGATTATGTGTTTGATTTTTACTTGTATTAAAAAGAAGAAGAGGTGATGTGCTAGTTTTTTAAATATTTTTTTTTAATATATTATCCTTAATTATTTTAGGATGAGAATATTGGTCCTCTTAATTTTTCTATCCATATTCCTTATTAACAACATAAAATTATAATTTTCTTAATTACTCTTACCTAAATACTTTCTTTTTATTTAAGTTGAGTTTTAATTAAACTCATTAATATGACATATCTATAGTTATTTGATGAATTTATGTTTCAAAACTTAGATAATTTAATTATATGAAAATGCTAATTTTTGAGAAAGTGTTTATCTTCACTCTATTCCACAACCACTTTCTTGTGACGAGGAAGTACCAAAACATCCCTTACCCGCAATCGTTCCTCATCAACTACTCTATTATCAGCTAAGACATCAACAACCCAATATTTGTTGCATGTCCTCTTCGGAGGGTTTGATAGTGGTCTTTGATTAGGTGGCTAAGATGGACCAGAACCTCGTGGAGATTGACTTGAAATTTGTTCTTGCTAGACTGCCAATTCATGTGGCTCAGTATCTATTCCTTGACTAGTACCTATGGGGTTTGTATTGTGTTATTGTTCAATACTTGCTTGTCCATGTTGATGTTCAAGTGCATGAATAGTAGAGCTTGTGGATTGTCTCCTTGCAATGAATCTCTTAGTACGTGCCATTTTCATGTAAATACAAATTGTGCAAACTCATACAATATAAATAAAAAATTAATTTAATTTGGAGAAGAGTTTACCTTAAAATATTAGATATTTTTTATGTAATTATTCACCTCCAAATATGTATGGTAGTAATTATTTATAAATTTGAAATAGAACATAACTCACTCATCATAAGCAATATAAGTCATAAGTAATAATAAAATTTCAAATACAACATAACTGACATATAAAAAACTTGACAATACAAAATAATAAAAAAATAATATACCATCTAAACCAAGCCATACAAAAATAATACAATACAATAATTGAAATTATGGACATAATCATATTTAACGAATAAATCATATATCCATATCTTCTTCCTCAATTTGATTAGGAATCAAAGTTGGAACGTTATCATCTATGGAAGGTCTAGATAACTGTAGATGTATTATGTCATCAACTAAAATTTGGTCCAGGTTTTGTGATGGAAATTGGACGGTGCATGTCATAATATCTTCACCAATATCATATAAGTCTCTTGGCTTCACATTAACAGGTATACTCCATCCATTTTCTTTGTCATCGTCAACATAAAAAACCATTTGAGCTTTAGAAGCTTTAATAAATACCTCATCATCCTCTTTCTCACCGGTATGTACCAATTTAGAAAAGTTCACTTGAGTAAAACCCAATTTATCCTTTTTTTAACCCTCTTTGAGTAGTGGTATCAACCCATTGACATTTAAACAGAGCCACTATGAATAACCCATTGTAACTAATCTCAATGATGTCGATCAATTTGCCATAGTGAGGAACCCATCCACATATCATTTGACCATCGTTATTACTAGAATAACTTCTAGTGTCAAACGTTCCATAAACCCCACTATTTTGGGTTTTTAGGTTCTTATCACGTTCCAAGGTACGATACTTGGTGCCGTTAACATTATATGCATTGAACCTTCTAACTTGATAAAAGTGGACCTTTTGCAAGGGAAAACATAATGGCTTTCTTTGATTCCCCAATACTATCCATATCAATAACAACCTACAATAGTTAACTAACTAATTTTAGTGAACTACATTTTAACTTAAAAACAAGCAATCTTCATTATTTGTAGTATATGACAAAATACTTACGCGTTTAGACTTTAGAGAACCAATAAGCAAATTCTCTATGAACCCTTCTATCTATCTCATTTTGACTTCGATTACTCCTTTTTAGTTGTCTCTTCAAGTCGGTCACAAATTTCCTAATTAAAATAATGACATTAAAAAAAATTACAGTAACTTACATACTAAAAAATAATTGGCAGTACTTACTGGACATAGCTTTCAACAAGTGGACAATTTGTTAGCACGTGTCTATGAGCCTGTAACCATTCCATGGATGTAAGATCAAAATATGTTGATGCACCAATTGGCTTTCCTACATTGGTAAATAATTCATCTACGTATATCTTGCGGTTTATATCATCAGGAACATCGTCAACACGTCTGGGTCGATTCCATTGAGTCTCAATATTATCAAGGTACCTTGAACAAAATGTTAAGATTTCTTGTATTAGGTAACCTTGGGCTACAGAACCTTCTGGTTGTGCTCTATTACAAACATATGATTTCAATTATCCCAAGTACCTCTCAATATGATACATCCATCTGTAATGAACGGGACCTCAAAGCTTAGCTTCCTTAACAAGATGAACAATCAAATGAACGATGACAGTGAAAAATGACGGGGGAATAACATTTCCATGTGGCATAGAGCTAGCACAACTTGACGCTGTAAATTATCCAAATTTGAAACAGTCAATACCTTATCGCATACCTATTTGAAAAATGAGCACAACTCAATTAAAATGCTTGATACATTATAAGGCAACGAGATTCGTGTGGCCAACGGTGTTAGTTGCTCCATCAATATATGACAATCATGACTTTTCAACATCTCATTCAGCCGCATAGAATCAACATCTATGAACCTAGAAATGTTGCCAGCATAACCATCTAGTACAATGATATTCCTTAAGATCTTTAGGAAAGCCTTCTTGCCTTGATTAGTCATTGTGTACACTCCTAAAGGATACTTTTCATTCTCTAACAGTCAAAGGTCATGCTTACAACCCATCCTTTGCAAGTCTTTTCTAGCATTCATGTGTTCTTTTGATTTAGTTGCATCATTAAGCAATGTGAAAATGATATTGTCACATACATTCTTCTCAATGTGCATAAGGTCAAGATTATGATGTAATAAATTATGCCTCTAGTACAAAAGCTCAAAAAATATGTTTTTCTTCTTCCACTGCATAGTGTTTCCATGTGCATCACGGTCACTAACACGTGCTCTTTTCCCTCTACCACTTACATCGGTAACATGCAAATTTTGAACTTGTTCAAGAATTTCACAACCAAACAACAATCTTGGAGGATTACGCATATCTTGCTTTCCATTAAATCGAACCTTGTTCAATCTAAACTTGTGTCTTTGATGAAGAAAGTATCGATAACCTATAGAACACCATTTTTTACTATGATAAAGACAACAAGTTTCAAAATCAAAGTTACATGATGGACAAGCTAACCCAGTGTGTGTGTTCCACCCAGACAGATTACCCAATCTGGGAAAATCACCAATGGTCTACATTAAAACTGCATGTAATTTGAAGATCTCTTGTGTTGAAGCATCATAAGTGTTTATGCTGTCATGTCATAATTGCTGCAACTCTTTCATCAAGGGTTGTAAGTACACAACAATATTATTTCTTAGCACTCGTTTACCAGGAATTATTGTTGAAATAATAAACGATGTTGACTTCATACACAACCATGGAGGTGTATTGTACGAAATTAAAACAACAGGCCAAATGCTATAGCTAGAACTCATATTACCAAATGGATTAAAGCCATCAGTAGCCAAACCAAGCCAAACATTACGTGGGTCTAATGCAAATGATGTGTGCAGTGAATGAAATTTCCTCCAAGCTTCAGAATATCTAGGATGCCTCATCTTGCCATCATCATCACCATCCATAGCATGCCATTTCATGCCTTTTGTAGTCTTTGACGATAGAAACAACCTTTGTATGCGTGGTTTGAGTGGAAAGTAATTAACCATTTTTGAAGGCAGATTACGCTTCCTATTTCCATCACTAAGGTCACCACCTTTAGTGTGTGGTTTCCATCTAGATGTGTTACATACCTTGCAAATTTATCTATTTTCGTCCATACCCCAATATAGCATACAATTAATTGGACAAGCATGTATCTTCTGATAATCTAAACCCAACTTGGTAATTGTTTTCTTTGCCTCATATAATGAATTTGGAATTTTTGCTTGTTCAAAGGCATCGTGTAGTAGTTCCAATATCAAAGTCATTGCCTTGTCACTTATCCCACACAAACATTTGATATGATACAACTTCACAATAAAGGATAACTTTGAATACTTCTTACACCTTTCACACAACGATTATCTCCATTTTTTCCAATTCGTAAAATTCTTTACCTTTAAACGCTTCTTCATATGGATTATGGGTTGGATCTCTATCTTCTCCAACATTTAAATTCTCATGGTGCCCATCCACCCCAAAAACATCATTTACCATGGTTCGAATAGGATCTTCATGAACAATGCGATCTTCGGCATCATGCAACACATCTGGATCAACATTACTACTTCTCCGATCTCTGACTCGCCGTGGAAATACCAAAAAGTGTATCCTTCTGGGAATGTTGTGCAAAGTAAATGGTCATACATTTTCTCCTTTTGATGCCACTTTCTAAAACCACAATGAGAGCCAGGGCATAGTATCAAGCCTTCAACAGAACTATGCGAAAGAGAAAAATCAATGAATGCCCTAATTCCTTGTTCATTATCTATCATATTTCATGATTTCGTAATCCATGTTTTATCCATTTTCTCTGAAAAAAGATGATAACTTTCTT